GTGTGGGGAGTGACTTTCTTCTCAGTCTGGAACCACATCTGTGAAGGTTTTGGTTGAGTTTTAGTGGAGGTTTTCTCATTTGTGTGTGCCCCCCCAACTGATTTATTTTCCTGTGAATCGGTGGGCCCTGACCCCAAAAACGTTCCCCACCCCTGGTTTATGTGGCGTTTCAATTGAATGTTTTATATATCTATTTTTAAAAGTGGGGAGTGACTTTCTTCTCAGTCTGGAACCACATCTGTGAAGGTTTTGGTTGAGTTTTAGTGGAGGTTTTCTCATTTGTGTGTGCCCCCCCAACTGATTTATTTTCCTGTGAATCGGTGGGCCCTGACCCCAAAAACGTTCCCCACCCCTGGTTTATGTGGCGTTTCAATTGAATGTTTTATATATCTATTTTTAAAAATGAACTGTTAACTGCATCTTTTCTTCATGTAATAGAAGATGAGACAAGCTAATATATGCAATTTGATTATTTTTATTTATTTTTGTCAGTCACCCCTGGGAAACTGTAACAACAGCTGCTATGCAGAAATACCCAAATCCCATGAATCCTAGTGTGGTTGGAGTTGATGTACTAGACAGACATGTAGACCCCAGTGGAAAGCTGCATAGCCATAGACTGCTCAGTACAGAATGGGGGATTCCATCTATCGTAAAATCAGTAAGTATATTATTACAGGACTTGAGAGAAAAATGGCTCCCGAGTTATCTCATTTTTATAAATAATCCAAACAGTACAGGCAGTCCCCGGGTTATGTACAAGATAGGGACTGTAGGTTTGTTCTTAAGTTGAATTTGTTTGTAAGTCGTAACTGGCATCCAGATTCAGCTGCTGCTGAAACTGATCAGCGGCTGATTCCAGGACGCCCAAGGCAGAGTTGCTCTGCCCCGGGCTTCCTGGAATAAGCCGCTGATCAGTTTCAACAGCGGCTGACTTGGGGACGGTTGGGGTTCTTAAGTTGAATCTGTATGTAAGTCAGAACTGGCGGTCAGTTTCAGCAGCGGCTGAATCTGGACGCCAGTTCCGACTTGCATACAGATT